GGGGGCAAATCTGTAAAATTTGAGGCATCCACAGTTCAGCATAATAATAGTGAATTATGGCATGGTCGGTTTGGTCATATAAATTATGATACTATTGTCAGGACTAGTAAGAGACATTCAGTTCGAGGTCTTCCTGTGTTAAAGCACTCACCTAATTTGTTTTGTGAACATTGCCAAATCAATAAGCAAAGACGAATCTCCTATAGACCTTTAGAAGGTATTCAAGTAAAGAGACCGCTTGAAAGGGTTTTCTCTGATGTATGGGGACCTATTAACATTCCAGGTAGGAATGGTGAACGTTATTTCGTTTCCTTTATTGACGAATATTCTCGTTATGTGGTAGTGTACCCCATTGTGGAGAAAAAGTCAGGTGTTTGAAGTATTTGAAAGGCATATATAGCACGTGCGGAAAGATCTTTGAACCTTAAGTTGAAATACTTTAGGACTGACAATGGGCGAGAATATGATAATGATCAATTCAGGTCATATTGTAATAAAAATGGTGTAAAGCACGAATTTACAGATGTCTACACTCCAGAACAGAATGGAGTTTGTGAGAGATTTAATCAGACAGCTCTCAATAATGTACGTGCAATCTTACACGATAGTGGAATGAGTTCCGAATTTTGGTCAGATGCAGTAATGTATTTTGCATATTCATTTAATAGAATTTGTCATAAGGGCCAAGATAGAACCCCATTTGAATTATACACTAAGCGGAAACCATCAGTACGTCATCTTAAGGCATTTGGAACGATTGCCTATGTGGGAATTCCAAAGGCTAAAAGAAATTCTAAACTTGATCCAAAGGCAACAAAGGGCCGATTGATTGGGTACAGTGTACGAACAAAAGGGTACAAGATTTGGTTGGAAAATGAGCAAAAGGTAGTAGAAACCCTAAATGCTACTTTTAAAGAGTCGATTGGAATGCAGAAAAGTGGCAGTGGAGCTGCACTGGGCACCCTTCCTGATTTGGAATCTGAAGAAAGGGTAGAGTTCCAATCTACTGACACTCCAGTTGGCTATTTTCCTGAAATAGAGGAAAGAACCGATACCAATGTACCTTCTTCTACAATTGGCACTGACACTCAATCTACATTGAGACAAGTAACTTGGCTTCGTAAACCTGTTCCAAGGCCAGACGGCACTCGTACGGATGTGTATTATTTTGAGAGGGGGTCTAATCAATCAAAGACTACGATCACCAAATGATGTAGAAAGGTATTGCACTGAACATAATATTCAGTATGATCCTACCTTGTTTGATTTCAAGGGAAGCAATACTTATAGTGGTGAAATCGACCCAACTGGCACTCCTTCAACGTCGTATACCCGAGATAGCTGACTAGATGGTTTCAATTCCAAACACTTATAACCAGGCAATGAAATCTGCAGAAAAGCTTAAATGGATAGAGGCAATGGAAGAGGAAATGGCCAACATGCGAAAGCATAAGGTATGGCATCTTGTTCCACTTCCTAAAGACAAGACTCCACTAGGTTGCAGGTGGATTTTCAACATTAAACGTGACGAATTTGGAAACATTGTTCGTTTTAAAGCTCGTTTAGTGGCTCAGGGTTATCGGCAAATTAAATACGATACCTATGATGAAACCTACTCTTCCTGTAGTCAACTTTTCAGTAATAATAAGGCTAATAATTATTACTTTTTAGTAATAATAATTTTAATTCTCCTTTTAGTTGCACACCTTGGATGGGCAAATATACAATGTGACGTGAAAAGTGCCTATCTCTACGCTCCTTTATCAGAGGAAATTTACATGTCCCAACCTCAGGGTTTTGTAGAGCGAGATAAAGAAACTTTTGTGTGTCGTTAGATAGAGCCTTGTATGGTTTGCATCAGAGTGGCCGATTATGGTACTACGAGTTGGATAGAACACTATGTAACCTAGGGTTCATCAAGTTTGAGTGGTGTGTAATTGTGTCTATCGTTTTAAAGATTTTGTCATTCTGTTGGTTTATGTTGATGATATAGTTGTGTTTGGGAAAAAGTGAAGTTCAGGCCAAAAGGATATTAAAAGTCCTGAGTTCACATTTTGATTTGAAAATTTTAGGTAAAACAAGAAAGCTTCTGGGTGTGGAATTTGAATATGAGAAAAATAGTGTTTTAATTCATCAGCAATTATATATAGAAGACATAGTTGAATCGATTTAAGTCTTTTAAAATACAAATTACTTCCCTTCCAATAGTTAAAGGTTGTGAAATACTCAAAGTCTCAAAGTCCCAGTACACAAGAAGAAACGACTGAAATGATGAATTATCCTTATAGAAATGTTTTGGGATGTCTCTCGTTTCTTTGCAATCGTACTCGTCCGGATATAGCTTATGCTGTTAATATATTTTCTCAGTTCCAAAGCAATCCTGGTAAGTTTCACTGGGAAGGATTACTTAAACTTTTAGGGTACGTTTCCAATACCAGACAGCACAAACTCAAACTGGTATGCAAGGAACTGAAGCTCAATATATATTCAGATTCGGATTTTGCTTCAAGCAGGGATGATATGGTGTCTATTGGTGGACAAATAGCTTTGTTGGGAGAATCACCTGTATCTTGGCGTACATTTAAAGAAAGGGGAGTGAGTTTGTCTACTATGGAGGCTGAATTTATCTCCATGACTGAATCAGCAAAAGAATTAGTTTGGTTTAAAAACATTTTGGATGAATGCATTCAGTTTAAAATTGCAAGTAACTATGTTTCGAGGCCAATATTGTTTGCTGATAACATGGCTGCTATATGTTTTACAAAATCACCCATTGAAAACTCAAGGACAAAACATATAGATGTGAAACTATTTTTCATTCGTGATCTATTGAACAGGGAAATTTTTGATTTAAAATATGTTCCAAGTAAAGATAATCTGGCTGATCCCATGACAAAACCGCTGACTAAGCATAACCTGATAATAAGATTTTGTGGAACAATTTTCTTATGAAATTTGTTTTTGTGTGTATTTAACTAAATTAAGAGTTTTGTTTAGACGTTTCAACTGAAAAAATATGTTATAAGTCATATTATGATGGATATTAGGTAAATGTAAAAATTGTATAGTGTAGAATGTTGTATGATTGACCAGGGCCCTGGGTAAATGTATTGAGTGTATGATCATACATATATGTCTTTGTATTGTTTTGTAACATGTTGGACTTTCTTGTTATGGTAAAATTTTTGAATAATGGGATAAGATTTTCCCAAAGAAAAATTTTCTTAAAAATTTCTGAATGAAATTGTGATATTTATTTATTCTTGTTTTGAATTTTGTAAAGATACTGGCATTCGGTTTTTATTTCAGGTCGGAGATGATGATGTGGGGGGCATTTGTTGGAAAATATAGCTTATTTTTAAACTTTTTTTTTTTAATGCATCATCTCTCCTCCTTGAAATGTTTATTTAGTTTAGTCTTTATTTTTAATATAACATAGTAGTTACTTCTACTTATTTTTCTTGCTGCCACTGTTTGCATTGAAAACGGACTGTCTCAACCTAATTGAGATGCAAAAACGAAACAATGTTACGTCATCTGAAAAGCCGATTCGTGCCGATAGCTGATTGGTTGCCGTGAGATGACGTCATTCCTACTTCTGCTATAAGTATCTCGCGTCGCTCTGGCTCAACCCTGCTTTCTAGTTCCTGGTTTACCGGCTGGTGTGTGAGCGGTTTCCAGCCCCTTCCAAAGGATGCCTGCAGTCCGGTGAAAGGATGCCTTGATTCCGGTTTACAAGATAATGGTTCCAGAGTGAAGTTCTTCAGTTCCGGAGGCTGTCCTGTGAGTGACTACCGTAGGCAGCGTCCATGTTTCTTCAAGGAGGGTGGAATTAAGTGCAAACGGCGTTAGGCCGGTTTTTAAGTGGTTTCACATTTAAATTTTTCAGGTGTTTTCTTGACCATTGATTATGGACTTATGGAATGGGTAGCCTGCTTTATTTATAGGCGGCATAGACACTATTTAGGACTTTTTCATTTTTTTTTTTGAAATTTGTTTGTATAGAATGCCAGTGTTTTGGAGTTCAGGTAAAAATATTTGATGAATGATGATTATGTTATGTTTTGCCTAATACTCTAATATTGTTGAAATTTATTTTATGTGTTTTTATTTTTTTTTATTATATTGTTAATAAATTGGTTAAGTTCAAAATCTTTTATTGTCTTCAATGTCTGCACAGCATAACTCAGAGAGCTTTCATTGCTAATACTGCTAAATGTTTAATATCTTTAAACTTTAAACTTTGTTTTAGCATCAGAAATAAACTGCACTGAAGTTCCACACCTATAGGGTCGAAAATCGGCTGCGCCATATTATTGTAATGAAACTGTGGTTTGAAGGTGGCAGAGTGGAAAGCATGATGACGCTATTTAGCACAACATATCTTGAAAAATCACAATCTTTATTTTTTCCATGCATATCAAATCATCTTTTTTCAGACAAGATATTTCTTAATAATATTTGAATAGAATAACTTCCATTTTGAAGTACGACGTCATCTTAAGCAAGTAAGCGGCAGCGGCATGAATTAAAAGCATCTTGTCAGCAGGAAAGATATGCGGGGAAAAGGGAAAGGTTATAGTACTTTCATAGCAAGAAGGCTGAAGTTTCAGTTCACAGTTTTGGTTTAGAATTAATTTGATTGGACGAGAGGCATCTGCATTAAAACGTTACATAAGATAGAAAAGTCTGGAACCTGTGAGAAGAGATGAATTTAGGGTCAGATTACCAAATTTAGAATGTTAATTTTGAGATCGTCAATTATTTTTTTGAAACAGCTATCATATTTTGTTATATCTTACATATCCCCCCTTCAAAAGAAAAGTTGGGTGAGCAGGGTGGAAGAACAAGCATTAGAGCAGCAAAATGTGAAAGATATAATTCTGAAAATACAAACATATTAACTTTTAAACAAAAAATTATTGTCATAAAATTTTGACCGATATTTTGACATTTCATTGAAAGTCATAAAATTTTGAATTGAATTATGAATTTTAGCAATGTATTATTTTTAAACAATAGCATATTTTAGAGTTCTGAGGTAAGAATGTCCTATGAAATTTTGTAAAGTTCTTGATAGTTCCATATGGTAAAAGTTCAAATTTTTTCACAAACTTCATCACAAATTTTTGTTGATAAAAGTCCAGGTTTCAGATCATCATGTAAAGTGGGTAGCTCTTCTTAAGTCTGACCCTGAAATAAAGTATGGTATTATCTGTGAAGAGATCTGTCACACACACACATCAAGTTACTCTGTGTGTCACTGCTTAGATGCAGCCTGAACCTCTGTCTACCAGATCTTTGATGTGTGCAGTAAGCATGGATATTTTGTATTCTCCACCAGAAGAAATTTCAGAGCTTTATTTGCAGCTCCACCAATAAATGCAAAATTGTTACCAACTTATCAGGACTTGTATTCCTCTTTACTTGCCTTGGAAACATTGAACTGTCCTGACTCGGAACAGGGAGCTTACTCAAGCTATGTTCAATAAATTGTGAAGTAGACAATACACACAGGAAGGGCATACGAAACCATTTATTTTTCTATCTTTACAGAGATTTCCGGAACTTCGGAATACAGAGACCAACCACTTGTGGTCTGAACGTAAGAATATAAAACTACTAACTAAAACTAACTTTGGATTAATATACAAGTGCCTAACTTTAAGATTGGCCGTTATTTAACAAAATCCGTATGTAGTACAGAGAGTTGCTAAAACTACGATACGTTTAAAATTATCAAGAGGATTAAACCTCTGGCTTTGAAGGCAACCAGCAACCGAGTAAAACTACTATGGCAAGCAGCCTGCTTCTAATAACTCCTTCCTCTCTCTTGCTTGGCAAAAGGCCACAACTTAAGTACTTGGCGTTAGCAAGACAAATTTGCATAAATAAGTTAAAGCTTTTAATTCTGGCCGGAAGTAGAAAATAAGAAGTGATAGTAAAGATTTAAAACAAAATAAACGTTAGTAAAACTTAAGATCCGTACATACTTCCCGCCAGAGTTAATTAGTTTGAAACTGAGGTCTAAAACGACCTTGTTGAAAACTTTTAGCTCTAGAAGCTAACGCAAGGCCAATCTTTTACAAACATTTCTCTCTAGAAACTAGAAATTAAAAAAAGTCGTTTTTACATTATCAACTCCATGGACAAGTAATTTTCATCTGTACTGCATCTATAAACAGGAGTTTCTTAGTTGAAATCTGGTTCCTTCCAGAGATCTGGAAGGAAAACTAGTTTAATGAAATGTTACACAATCAAATGGCAAGTAACATGAATATTTATATTACTCTTTTAAAATTCTTATTTCATTCATGACGTTATTTAATTATCTCCCCGTGCTCTCTGACATGTGTTGTAAAGAAAAACACCAAACACGAGCGTGTCTATGTACAAGTGTTCAACACTACCGCCTGCAATCAAAACACTAACGTGTTAAAATTCAACATAACAAGACCTCAGAACACACCTTATATTCATCTCTAAACCCAGGTACTATTCTGAAAAGTGGCTAACTCTGAAGTGTAGCGTCAGAGAGCCTAACTACATTCATTCAACCTTTAACACATATTCACAATAATTTGCTCTTTTTACAGTCACACGAATAAGTTAAAATTTTTGGCATTACTCTAATATTTTTCACTTTTAACATATCACAGTATTTCTTAACTTTTAAGATAACAGTTCACATTGTATATAAGGACATATTAACATGCCGTTAATTTTACGCATTTTAAAACATACATTAGTAGTACATTGTTAACTTCTATTCTTTTCCAAGCAAGTGCCAATTCTTCTACATTGAAATACTACATTTCAAAAGTCTTTCAGACTAAAACTACTTTCTTGCCAGAATCTTTTAAATAAAATTTTATACAATAATTTTTACAGTTTTCTTAAGGTACCTTTCTCAAAGATTATCAATGCTTTTACAATATTCAAGTATTTACACATTCCTATTATACATTAATTTTAGTTTTCCTCGCGAGTAATTGAAAAACAATACCGAAATGGTAACAACTCATTACCTTTTTGGCGATAAAGGTAGGCCTCGCATGAGGTAAAACTTCTTGAATTCTGCCACTTGCAGTAAGAATGAAAAATTAACTTAAGGTTTCAAAGTAACAAAGTTTTACTTATCTTTGTGATATTCAGACATCCTTTTTTCTGCCCAGTCCTGGAAGGTAGCGAAGACTACCGTCTGGTTTATCTTCCTTCTTGTGCGGGTTCGCCCTTCGGTTCCTTCCTCCATGAGCTTTCTTTTTCTTCCAGTTCGGTCACCCTTGAAGACCTTCTTTTTAGCATCTGCCTGTGGTCTCGGCCGTTTGATGGCAGCTGGTCTTGGCGGAACCGGGACAACTCTCTCTCGTTCTTGCCTGGATCTCGTTGCTGGCTGTTCAAATTTTTCTTGCTTCTTTGCATCTGCAGCTGGTCTTCCTTCATCAATTCGTCGACATTTGCTGCGTAGACTCCTATCCGATGGGTAGATCTTCCGTTTTGGAGCCGTGTTATAGTTGCTGTCATTTCTCCTGGCTTTCTTTGCATTAGTCGTACTTCTCCCTTCTTCATTCTGGGGGTGGTCGTGCCCTCTCTTTTCTGGTCGGTGGAACGGCTTCTTTTTCTTGTTACCTTCAATTTTCCAACGGGGAAACTTTCTTTTCAATTGCTCCTGTCTACTAATGGCTTGCCCTTGTGATTGTCGTTGTTCCACCTCTGGAGCTTGTGCCTGCCGTGCCGGATCCTGCAAAAGATCTTGAAATATTGGCATTTTAGTACGATTATAAAATGGTTTTATCTGGTCAACGTTTGCGGTGCAGGTTTCACCATTCCTGGCTTTTAACACCACTACAGCCTGAGTTACTTTTTCTATGACATATGGTCCTTCAAATCGTGTATAGAATTTGGCAGTTTTATCTTCTGGTGCTGAAGAAAGTGAATGATTAATTTTTAATACTTCATCTCCTACTTTATAAGTTACTCCCCGTCGTTTCATATCGTAATAAAGTTTCTGTTTTCTCTGTGCTACTTCAGTGTTCTTTTTTGCTTCTTTAATTAATTTTTCTATATCACCCATTTTAAATTCTGGGGCTCTTTGTTGAACATAAAATAATTTATCTAACGGCGTTATAATCTTTCTGCCTAAAAATAACTCAGCAGGAGTTTTGCCCGTCGTATCATGTTTTGCGGTCCTAAGGGCGAAAGCTAATTCATTGACATAGTTATCCCAGCTTTTATGAAAATTTTTAACATAACTACGGATAATTTTCACTATATTTCTATTGACCCGTTCCGCTATATTTGATTGCGGCCGATACGGGACCATTTTTAAATGACGTATGCCCAGTTTTTGGCACATGTCTTCAAATATATTACTTACAAATTGAGGACCATTATCCGATATATACTTTTAGGGGCGCCCCGTATTTTAAAATATATTTATTTAAAATAGAATCAGTAACTAATTTCGCGGAGGCTCGTTTTAAGGGAACAATTTCGGTCCACTTACTAAAATGATCAACCATAACAAGGAGATAGCCGACTTTTATTTAACTGACTTTTTGGGAAAGGGCCCAATAAATCGATGCCAATTATTTCATTTGGAAATTCCGATTTAATACTATTTAGAAACCCGGCCGGGCGGGGAAATTAATATAATTAACTGCTTGACATGTTGGGCAGGACTGGACATACGCCCTTGTTAACTTTTGCAGCTCAGGAAAATAAACTGCTTCGCGTACGCGTTGGATGGTTTTTCGAATACCAGCATGAGAAGCTAAAGGGGAGTCGTGTAACTCCTGCAGTATATTTAATCTAAGACTAGCTGGGATAACAGGTCGAAATTCGTTGTTGGAATTCGTAGTTTTTGTATAAAATAATAGACCATCTATTAGTTCGTAATGGGCCGCCCTATTTCTTATCGCCACAATATCTTGGTGGCTAAAATTTTCAGGATCCTTTAAATAATCATAAATATTTTTAAATTCAGGATCCTTACCCAGTTCGGTTATTACAGTTTCTCGGGAATGTATCGTACATGCTGTGAGCATTGCCACCTTTACAGTATTACCTTCTTCATCTATTTTTATTCTGGATAGGGCATCTGCTACGATATTTTCCTTTCCGGGGGTGTGCTTAATTACCAGATTATACTCTTGTAACTTGAGTGCCCATCTTATTAACCTTGGGGATAAGTTTTTCCCTGAGTACAATCTAGTTACCGCCGCGTGATCAGAATACGCCCTTCCAAAATAGACTCGGAACTTTTGCACTGCTAACAGAACTGCAAGTGCCTCTCTCTCAGTCGCGGAATAATTTCTTTGTGTTTGATTTAAAGTTCTACTAAAAAATGCCACGGGCTGCTGATTTTGCGAAAGTACCGCTCCTACCGCATAATCCGAAGCATCCGCTGAAATTTCTAAATTCTCATCGTTTTCAGGAAATTTCAAAACAGGGGCTTGCGTTAATGCTTGCTTTAATTTTTCGAAAGCACTATTGGCTTCGGCCGTCCACGAGAATCTTGCCTTTTTTCCTTTTTAATTTTAACAATGGTTCAGCAATAGCTGCAAAATCTTTTATAAAGGACCTATAATATGAACAAAGTCCTAGAAAAGAAGAGAGCTTCTTCGCCGTATTTGGCGGCGGATACTTTTGCACAGCGATTATTTTTGATTCGTCCGTCTCGATTCCTTTCTGAGATATTTTGTAACCTAAGTATTTTAATTCAGGGGCTGCAAATTTGCACTTTTCGACATTAACTTTTAGACCGGCCTCATTTAATAATAATGAAAACACCTGTTCTTAAATCCTGTACATGTTGGTCCAGATTATCACTAGTAATAATGATATCGTCTAAATAGATAAATGTGGTCTTTCCTAGAACAGGCCTTAGCACAATGTCCATACATCGCTGAAATGTTGCCGGTGCCCCTGAAAGGCCAAACGGCATACGCAGAATGCATAAGTGCCAGACTTGGTTATAAAAGCAGTCTTAGGCACATCTTCTGGTTTAACCCCTATTTGAAAATAACCAGTCGTTAAGTCTAACATAGTCATATATTTCGGTAGAAGTTATGTTCCTTAGAATTTCTTCAATAATAGGTAACGGATATACCGGATATTTAGTCATGGAGTTTAATTTACGATAGTCAATTGCAAAACGCCACCTTTTCGGATGTGTTACTGGATAGTCATTATTTTTCTTACATAACACAACCGGGCTAGCATAACTACTTGAGATGGGCGTTATGATCTTTTTACGTAACATATCTCGAATGTGCCACTCTATAATTTTTTCTTTATTCTTATCATACCGATATGGTTTGTGGCGAACTGGCAGTGAATCTCCGGTGTCGATACTATGGTTAGTAACTTGAGTAAATCCGGGAATATCACTAAATAACGAAGCAAATTCACTTACCACTTGTCGAATTTTTGTTGTTCACCCTTAGGCAGGTGGTCGAGGTTTAATGTGGGTGGTTCTCTTTTTTCTTCCCGAACTGGTTTCATCGGTCAGCTTAAGGGACGCTTGGTTAAAATCCAGCGTTGCTTCTGCCTCTGAAAGAAAATCTATCCCTAAAATGACATGTGCTTGTAAATTTTTTACGATAAAAAAACATGATCTTTACTTGCTCGTCCTTGATACGAATATATAATGGTATTTTACCTATGCATTTGCATCTTTTTCTCCCTGCGCAGCTAACACTGTCGTATTATCCGAATTATATATGCGGTATCTACGGAAATACTTCCTAAAAAAATCTATGCCACACAGGAACACTGCGCGCCTGTATCCAGGAGTGCGGTGGCTGGGATGTTGTTCACCAAAACTTCAATCTTTGGAAGAGTCAAATTTTTTCACAATAACTGTATTTAACTTGAAGGAAGAGGGGTTTTCTTGGCCTTCGGATTTCCGCACTCTCCCGTCAGCAGAAATCCGTTTTAGTTTAAATTTTCTTTCTTCCTTTCCATGCCTTCCTTCTTTTTCCGTTGGCCTTCAGACTTTTTTTCTGGCTTACTATTGAACTGTCGACGTTCTCCGGTTGTTTTTGGATACTCGGGTTTCCTTGCCCACTGATTCGATTTGCTTCCGTAGCCGTGTTCTTGCCTTTGCTGTGGTCTTGGCATACCAAATTGGCTTCGTTGCTCATACTGGCGTCTTCTTTCAATGTCCGCCGTTCTACTTTCAAACTGGATTGCTAGCTCAAATAACTTTTCCAGTGTAGTCGGATTCCTTAATTCAATAAAGTCTTGTACTTGGGGAAGTAACCTCGGCAAAATCACTTGGAATTATCTCAGGATCCGGACGGCTTTCCATACAAGAGTTTAAAGACGTGAATTTTTCTTAAAATAAAGCTTGAGAGATTTTCAATTCGTTGCTGGTATATGCTGAAGAGTTCCGCTTTCTAATTTTGCACGATTTCTTACGACAGGGAAGGCTTTTACTAAGGCAGTCTTGAAATTTTCGTAAGTATAGGTGGGACTTCCCGCTTGACCCAAGAGGTTTCTGCCTATACATTTGAACCAATTAAGCGCTTGGCTCCTCAAAGCGCTGGCAGCTAAGGTGACTTTCTGGAATTCATGGACTGGATACTATATGAAGTGGTCATCAAATTTTTCCAAAAAACTGGTTACCGGTGAGTTTCCATTGAAGGTTGTTTCTGGTTTCATCGATGTGCGCATGGTCTGGACGATGTACCCTAATCCTTCCAGGGCGGCAGCTGGCATTTCTGGATTCTGAGCCGCTTCTGCAGGGACCTTAGGTTCTTCTTGAATCTCGGCCATGGTTATTCTTCTTTGTCGGGCGCCACTATCAGGACTTGTATTCCTCTTTACTTGCCTTGGAAACATGAACTGTCCTGACTCGGAAAAGGGAGCTTACTCAAGCTATGTTCAATAAATTGTGTACACACAGGAAGGGTATACGAAACCCTTTATTTTTCTATCTTTACAGAGATTTCCGGAACTTCGGAATACAGAGACCAACCACTTGTGGTCTGAACGTAAGAATATAAAACTACTAACTAAAACTCTAACTAAAACTAACCTTGGATTAATATACAAGTGCCTAACTTTAAGATTGGCCGTTATTTAACAAAATCCGTATGTAGTACAGAGAGCTGCTAAAAACTACAATACGTTTAAAATTATCAAGAGGATTAAACCTCTGGCCTTGAAGGCAACCAGCAACCGAGTAAAATTACTATGGCAAGCGGCCTGCTTCTAATAACTCCTTCCTCTCTCTTGCTTGGCAAAAAGCCACAACTTAAGTACTTGGCGTTAGCAAGACAAATTTGATTAATAAATAAGTTAAAGCTTTTAATTCTGGCCTGAAGTAGAAAATAAGAAGTGATAGTAAAGATTTAAAACAAAATAAATGTTAGTAAAACTTAGGATCCTTACAAACTTTACAGAACTATTCACAAACTTATTGGCAACAACTGTTTTGCCAAGCTAATGTGTGAAATGCAACAGCCATTTTCAAAACGGCAATGCAATAAAAATTCCATACAACAATCAATTAATAAAATTTAAAAAGGAAGAAACATCAGTAATAAAACACTAATTTTTTTCCAAAAATCCTTCTTTTTTGTGCTGGTTGTTCTACTCATGTATATAGCAATCTGTTTTCACCTTTAAAAAAAATTGCACAAACTCAGCTTGGCACATTTTTGTTGCACACCAGTTTAAACAGACATGTGCTACACACATACCTGGGTTTCCACATATTTTGGCAACATACTCAACAATACGTTTTCACAGCCTTTTGGTGGGGATGTGGATAATCAAAACGTACCAAAACTTCTTCATGCTTACCAGAAAAAACTAACACTTTTCAAGCATAATATAATATTAAAAAAAGCATCTGTTTATCCACTCTTCTATCTACAGCCTCTTTTCTATTTACAGATGTATTTTCTATATTAATGTGCTAGCAAACAGAAAGAAAAAAATATTTCTACATTTAATGTACAAATAATGTGCAATGATATTCACATGTGGTTTATAATGCGAGACTATGTTCATTATAGATGATATTTCCAGATCAAATATGCATTCATTTTGGAAGCAATTCATTGTATAAGACACCACAATACTATGTTTTAAATAACAATTTTTGACATTATTCAGAAAATATTTAAAATTAAGCAAAGAGTGTGAAATAAAAATAACAAACCTCAAGGCTTGTCCCACATTTAGCTGCTACTCGACCATCCATTCCAGGAGGTTTGGAAAGATTACAATGAATAGCAGGTACCAGATCAATATCAATCTCAACTCCAGATCTTGTAGTTAACCTTATAGTTCTTGCAGGACCTGATGCCGTACAGCTCAGCTTCATTAAAAAATAAAACAAAGAAATAAAAACATAAAAGTATGAACAAATATGGGAAAAACAAAATACAAAATTATCTTACATATAAATAAAGCATAAAACTTATTTCCATGCTCACTTCATGACAGGAGTTTGACTAATCAGAGAGAATTACTTATTATATCGTCAGAAAGCATAGTTGGCCAAATTATAGGCATACTGTTTACATCCTTTTGAAAATAGAGCAAACTAAGGCATTATCCATCATGTAATGTATTGCTTACTTTAAAACCATTTTAAAAATAAAGCTCATTAACCTACTTTTTTTAACACAAAGTTGATAACATTAATTATAATTTTGAATATGACATTTTCTAGAAAATTGATTCCAGGGGTACTGCATACCCCTGGTGTATAATATGCACATACAGAAAATAACATTGAAATTTGCGTGTGCACATTATACGCCGGATATAAAAATGATAAATTTAAAAGTAAAAAAAAGATCAGCATACAAAAAAAAAAAATTCTGTATGTAACTAAGTGTTGTTTATTTAAAAGAAATGAAAACTTCATGCATTTAAAAAATTGTTCATTATCAGGTAACACGAAAAAGATATGATATTCTTTTATTACATCCTCAGCACATCACTGAATTCTGTTTCATCTTCACCATTATTGTTACTCTGATCTATAAATAAATAATCATCTTCATTCCATCTAGATTGTTTGCTGTACTACATTTTTAAATGACTTTTGAATTATGTCAGGTTTAATTTCATTCCACGCTTTTATTAGCCACTCTATTTCTAGTCTAGCATAAAGCATTTGGCAGACTTTTGTAATTTTTTTTTAAACCTTCTAACATCCACATATTCCACTGTTGATTTAAATTTTCTTGAATGGTTTATTGTCGCAAACATTTAAAAGATGAACATTAACAGCTTCAATCTGCCTGGAATAACTGCCATGTCTGTATTACATTCTTTCAACAATTCCTTCATATTATCCATTAAATGGGAAATGAGCATTTCCCAATGTAAAAAAAAAAACTTTCTGTATTCTTTAAGGCAACAGGATTTCATTCATCCATCCTTTCCCGTGAACATGAATGATAACACTATTTGGGATATTACATTTCATCATCATTTTTTTATAAAAATAGCCATGGGTTTTAACTTTCTATCATCTACTAAGCAGGAAAGCACTACAGTTAGGTAAGATTTTTCATGATTTACATGAACCATTTTTGTTCCTTTCACATCAATTGTTTTATTAAATTCTTTTCCCTTTCCTTTTTAGGTTCTTCTGGAAACTTATCAATTTGTTGTCTACATCTTTCGAAAGCCTTCGCGAATCTTCTATTTCTTCTTCTAGAAGTAAATTATTCCATACCATAATTCAGTTGCACCAACTTATAAAGTGTTCACTTTCGTTTGCACATTTTAAGGCAAATAAATGAATGCCATTTCTTGCAACAATTAATTAATGCATTCTGGAGATTTTTTAGAACCCAGTTCACAATATTCCTCCTAGGATAGGCCTTTTCGTTACTCCATTAAGCAAATGCATATTTATAATCTGGCATATTAATTATTGTTATTTCATAACTTGGCATATATTAATTATTGTAATTTCATAATCTGATATATTAATTATTGTAATTTCATTTTCTTCAACAAATGGATGAAGCTTTCACCAATGCCAAACATCCTTTGTCTTTGCAATATTTTTGTTTTTTCTCGTAGAACTAAATCATTCCATGCAGAAATCGACTACACAAACTCTCAAAGTTGCTTTGAAATTTTCACTTGCATTCTTTTTTTTGCACATTTTCAAGGCAAAAAATGTAAGTTTTTTTCTTTTTAAAATTAATCCATTCTGGTAATTTTGTAGATACATAGGATAGGCCATTTCTTTACTCCTTTACACAAAGCATGTTTGTTCTTTGGCATATTAATTACTGTGATTTCATTTTTCTTCTACTCGCATACATAGCATTCAATAATACCAAAGAATCCATACAGCAGATGATTTCCATTTTCTTTCACAAACTGAATGATTTTCCATTTGAACCAGCACAGATCTTGTTTTGTTTGGCAGAAGCCATATTTACTATTAAAAGGAACATTAGATCAACTGTATTTCAATCAAAGTAAATGTGATTTACTAAAGCCTTCGGTGTTCATTTCAAAAGACTACAGAAACAGCAAACATCTGACTTCTAATTCTACGAATTTATTCAGAATGGAACTGTATTCTTACCCCAAACTATGCCTACCCTTTCTCAAAACCCTAGAATAAACATTCTTGTTCACATTTGCATTGAATATAACCTACCCTCTTTTCAGTATTATTTACTCAAGCATTTCACCCACACACATACTGTTTCCATTGTAGCTCGTCAGTTCAGTATACAATTCATTGCTCGAAAACCTGGGAAAAATCTTCAAATGAATGACTTCAAAAGATAAGATGCATCTTTCACATTTCTTCTTAAGAAAAGGGTACAGGTTATACAGTGACCATACCTAAAAATTAAAAAAAAAAAATAGTTTGGAATTGTAGGTGCACATACGCCATGCACCAGAATATATGATACACTACAGTCTTTTTATCAATTAAAGGACGATCAATTCAATTATTTAAAGTTATTCTTCTACTATTAGCATTTGTTCCGTCTTTTCAGTATATAGGTGGCGCACTTGCTGCGTGCCGGAAAAAAATATTCCACTTGACCATAAAGAATGATGCATGTTACATATTTTTTTTATCCTTCATTATGTTGTCATGGCCGCTATAGGCGGAAGTAATATATTATATCTTTAAGTTTATCATTAGTAAATGTTATTTCTGTTTTCTATGAAATCTTGAAGTTTTGATTGTAAATCTAATACTCTCCCTACTTGAAAATGAAACAACTTGAAATTAAGACTCATGTCAATAATCCATCATCAGCATTATTGACATAAAAACTTTTACAAAGTGATATTTATTAAATAAAGAGGTGACAGTTCCTTCAAAATTCTGCAAGAATGATTACCACGACTTTGGCATAATCTCTGCGAAACAGGATAATACGTAAGTACCCATACAATCTATAGGCATTTATAAAAAAATTAACTACAGTTTTGATATTCATTCAATGATATTCTAAGAAAATTGCAGTTTTCTTTTCAGCACAACCTAGATAATGCCTACTACCAGCAAGGTCTGAGAACTAATTGAATATCCATGAAAGGTATTAACATTGACAGAAACTGCAGAAAAAGCAATGCAGTAAAAGGTTGAATGCAGTCTTGTTGGTAAATGGCACCTGAGCAGCTGGACAGCATGGGCAACTCGATCAACTATAGAATGTTTTTGAAGTGAATGTGAGCCTTTATAAGTAAAAAGCACAAAAGATCTGTTATTCAAAGAGTTAACTCCTCAGTTTGACACATCAAGTATGATTTTTACAGTGCCTTTCAAAAACAAGTAATGAGCCTAAAATGCAGGCCACTTCTCCATGCACATGTAAGATGATTATCATATTAGCACTCAAAGAAGGGTGAATTAACAGTATAGAACAGCGGTTCTCAACCTTTTGATTAATGCGTAAACACAAATTCAAAAACTTTAGTACCACCACCACATTTTACAATGATTATTTTTCACTTTTTCAAGAGAAATATTAAAACAAAATATATTTTGCCATTTGCACTAGCTATTGGCTATATTAAATGTGCACATATAAAAATATATTAAATTAAAAATTGGTTACCATTTTAATTATCAAAATTTACGTTATAATACTTCAATTCTAAAATTTAGTGTGAAATTGGCCTGTTTAAGATATATCAATTTCTTTATGTCTGGTCTTATTTTACTTAACTTTAACCGTAAATTAGGTTCTAATTTTAATTTTGTTCTGTATTTCTTTTTCAAATGAAACATGGAAGAAAATCCTTGTTCACACAAATAGGTTGTGCAAAAAAGCAATAAAAATTTAATAGCTTTATTTGCAATGCTTTTAAAATCTTTTTTTCGGTTCAGCCAGAAGTGTGATATTTTGGAAAACTTCAGTTGGAGTTCAATCATAGGAAATTTCTAACAATTTTTCTTTTCTTTCATGAGATTTTTGAATTTAATAGTTAAAAATACTTTGTTTCTTTGCGTACCACCTATATTTCTCTTGCATACCACCAGTGGTACATGTACCACCGGTTGAGAATTGCTGCTATAGACAATTTACTTTTCAGTTATATACTTCTCCAGGATGACTGAGCTTAGCACCAATCTAGATGACTCTACCTATACAAAGAGATCAATGCTAGCCTCTTTAACTGATCAAGGTTTAAAGTATAGATTCTGCTAATCATTTCCAAATGGCCCTCTTTCATATTACAATATGCATGCATTACATTAAATATCTCTGAATGGATGACAGTGACAGCACTGATATAGTCAATGGCTTTTTTTTTATAACATGATCTTCTTGAGTAACTATTTACCTGTGATGTCCTGCATCTTTGGATTGGTTACATATTTCTTTTTGATTTAATGCTGTTAATACCAATCAATTACCACATGACTTTGGGCAAAATGACAGTTAATACTTCTGATTAAACTACACATGAATTAAAATACTATTTCTTTTATACACTGCATAATGTGACTTCTCATGACTTCTGAATAAGTCTTATAACATTACCAACTATAGTAAATAATTTGTTAATTTGTCTAACAGATGAAAGCACTTATCAAGCTCATTTTGTAATTATATCTTGTGAGCATGTGCTGCCTGTCAGAATGTAAAGCTTACATTAGAGCAAATCTAGATGTCGAGGGAGGCTGTACGCAATGTGAACTGTAAATATAAGTGTACTTTTGTAATCAGCATTCTTTACTTAGCTAATGCCACATGCACAGAGTATGAGAAGATCTGCATTAGTACTATTTGGCATTGCAGTGACCACGACACTGGCACTGAAATTCTAATCATTTGCATAACTCTTTGAAAGATACCTGCATGCTGAGTTTTGTGGCTGTAGTTCAATTTTTTATGGGTCTATAAATTTCTTTCTGGTCCCCTCCATAGAGAATGTTCGAAAATCTGTCAAACTCCACAGGCTTCACTTTCTAAACTGCAACAATTCTTCATGCTGAATTCTCAAAAATTTATCTTTCAAAATACCTTTTCGGATAAAAAGGTTGTCATATTTTTGCTGATTTTAATATCAAAATTTACTCAAAATGTCATAAACTACATAAAACTAACAACTGCTTTAAGAACATTTATTAATCAGATCTCATAATTAAAAATTTCAAAGATATATATGAGTATAGTTATAAGTATTTTGCAATAATATTGTGTACAGTCAAAAGTCGTTAATTCGGACACCCATAATCCGGAATGATCTATAATCCGGACCTCAAAGCTAAAAACTTTCTGCGCATGCGCCGCGTTGACATCTGCGGATAGGCGATTACGCGTGCGCGTAAGACCTTTTACATCTGCGCATATGCGTGTGCGCAAGTGCAGAATACGTTTTCGCATGCGCGTTTTATGTATAACGGACGGAATAAGCTAAAATTATCTAATTATCTATTTCAATTAATGTTGATGATTGTGTTGTTCCTTAATTTTCGAATTGGATCCGGCTTATTATTTTTTGCAGACTGTAAGAGCAATACTATAAAAGTAAACCTGAACTTTCGATTATATCAAATAGAATTTTCGATGCTGGAGCTCCCAAACGATCTACAAAACGAAAGTATGTTTCGATGTCCATCAAACAAAAAGTGGAATTGCTGCAAAAAATGGATAAAGACATGAAGAAGGTGACAGAGAGGTTAGTGAAAATGAAAAAATTTCAATTGACAAGTTAGTCGGTATTCTCGGCACAGCAATTACGGGACTTGAACAGCGGAACTTCATAACTGAACAAGAAATTATGTCTGTTTATAGAATTAAAGAGAAAGTATTATCACATAAAATGAAGCAACTTAAACAACTTACATTGAAAGAAATGTTTAATAAAGTAAACAAATAAATATTAAGCTTTTTTTTTTTTTGTAAATTTTGATACCCTTTAGATCATAATTGTTCTTTATTTCATAAATTACGGTTTCATATTTTTAATTTTAGAATTTCTGCATGCCATCTTACGAGATTTAAACTGATGATCTATAATCCGGAATCGCCGAAGTCCCGACGAGTCCGGATTAACGACTTTTGACTGTATAATGAAAACACAAAGAAAATATATGTATTGTTGTTACATTTAAAGTAAACCTGACAAAAGAAAACTTCAAAAGTGCTTTGATCACACAGAAACGCCTGTTAAATAAAAACACACCTACTTCAAAAAAAGAAAAAAAAAATTTCCCCAAGTTACTGATTAAATAATATGATGTACAACTAAAAAGGACACTTTTGAAACTACTTTATAGCATAAATTTTTAAAAACAATTTTTCAACCCATTTTTGTTTTCCTAATACTCCAAAAAAAGATTTAATAATCTTAAAATGGAAACTACTTACAGATCTGCAGCTTGCTGGCAGTCTATAAGTTAACTTTGCTTTGTCAACAACACTTTGAATCCATTTTCTCATTTCTTCAGGTATCAAATAGCCATCTTGAAATAAAACCTTTAGTAATTTTGAGTAACGGTCCTCATACTTTGCAGGATTCTTCAGATGATATTTTACAAAAGATGGAGTTTGGGGCTGATAAATTACCTTCAAGATTAAATAATAATAATAGTAAGTAAAAAATTATATATATTTAAAAAAAAACTTCAAGATAGTTTATTTGACAAGAAATATCATTTAAATGCTTCTTATTTAAGCATATTGTTGCGTGTATATGGCTTTGCAATAAATTGAATGTGCAAGTCCAATAAAAGGTTAATAAAATATATTCTCAACAAAAGAAATATAACGGAATGCTGGATTTTTTCTCAGAGATATTTGTACAATATCACGCAATATAATCAGTAGTTATCCTTTAAACTACTAAAAATGTTACACAGAACACAATCCATAGCACAGAGAAAGCTAATTCGATCAATAATAACAACAGCAGCTAACTAAAGAACAACAGAGCTGAGATGTTTCTCTCCAGCTTTTTAAAGCTTTCAATCTGTCGTGAGAGAGTTCTAGTAATTTCTTTGCTTCTGGAGATTTCTGGAAAGCAAAAGAGTAGAATTATAGTTACAGCTAACATAGTAGTCAAATACATTTTCAATGTAAATAAAAGAGAGATCCATTTATTAAATGTTAAATGCACGTGCTCCTGTATTTTTTAATTTTTGGCATAGTTTTCTCTTAAAATTTATCATGTGTTGCACTGCATGGGGAAATAAAACAATTTTAATTATAATTATACTAACATTAGCTATCTAAATACAAAATTCGTAACAATATTTATTTACAATATAACATCTTCCGTCACTACATGACTCTAATTTAAATGTCTTTTAATATATTTTACAAATTTATACATATAGGAAAAAATATGTAAAATAAAATCCTAACTTTAAATTGTAACAGCACATAAAGTCTCCTATTTATTTTGGTTATTCCTCATGTCCTAACAACAGTAATATGCTTATAATATATGTCTTTGAAATGCACAATTTCGAAATTAACTCTGTCATATCATTCTTTTATAATGTTCATGATGCCTGAACTTAAACAATGTTATGGAACAATCTGGTTTCAGGGAAAATTCTAACTATTTGTTTGATTTCATGACAAGGGGGAAAAAATTGTGTGTGACAGTGGATATGCTGTAGGTACTGGCGAACACAAACAAATGAATTGGAATAAGAACTCCTTTCCCTTGTAATAACAGAGAAAGACTTTCTATCGCCTTAATGAGTCAAATTCTTTATGAATCACAGACAGCTCGCTGAAAAGAATGGGCATTGCTTTGAAAGAAATGTTTTATTGTGCATGGCTGGTGGAAATGACTAGAAGCTAAAACTAAGGAAAGTTAAAACATATAGTAAACAAATTCGTTTTGTTTACTATATATTTCAACTTTTTCTTTTGGGATGCAAGATAAGCAGTAGCTTTTCGAAACATTCCCTTTTATTAAGTACAGCACTGTTTTATTGTTAAATAGATTTTTGAATGAAAATGAAGCAAAATGTAAACAGACTATCTATGAGGCCTGTTAGTTTTCAAACATTTTTTTCAGTTTGCACTGAGTTTCTCTGCTGCACAGAGGTAACTAAAATACGTTAACTACCTTTCTTGGAGGAAAAAAAATGCAATGGATAATTTTAATATTTGACTAACTGGTTTGGAAAAAAAGTTGTGCAACTGACGATGAACAATATAAGAAAGACGCGCAAATAGCTGTGCCAGAAGTTAGTTTTAATTAATAATTAAGTTAAATAGTAGAAAAGATTTGTAGAAAAGGGAAATAGGAAAGTGAGAAGAAAGAAAGGAGAAAGCTAAATGAGAATGAGGTGTGCTAAGCAGTTAGAACGACATGGGAGGGGGAGTAGTCCAATGATGATGAGCAGAAAAATGCAAGGAGAAGGAAAATTTACAAAAGATTTGTCAACCTTATATATGATGATCAGCTGAATTGAACTGTTGCTTAATGTCTGTTGGAATTTTGTTTAAAATTATTATTTGGTGTGCGATGATTGGGAGAAGAATATAAATGTGTCAATTACAGACTTAGAAGATGTACAGTCTCAGTGTTCAATAAGACTAAGGTGTGGGAATATGGGCAATGTGTACCTGTCAATGATGCTTTGGATGCACAAAATATCAAATTAATGACTCCTTCAATGATCAACAGGAATGATATTCAATACAGTTATTTAGAATATGAGGAAGAAGAAGAACATGAGTATGTAAATTCCAAGCTTAGAAACTTAAAGCCTTGACTTTTGGCAGTGATGAGAATAGTGTGGTGATCTATGTGTAATGTCTATGGCAGTTTACTCAGGGATTGCTTTATCAGTCTTCTGCACCTCTGGATGCTGTTGTCTCAGGTGATTCTTACGACTGTTATTGGGACTTATGATAATAGTGTGCTGGATTAGTTAAGTGGTGGCTTGTGCTGGATTAGTTAGACTGTTATTGGAAATAAAGAATTCATTTGGTACAAATCAAAAGTTTTCCTTGGTAGGAACTGAAAACGTAAAACCAAGAATTTTAAAATACAACTCAGCCATACCCTTTAATGACTGCTGCTGTTAAGAACTCTTCACCTCCTCTTAGCATGCAGTAATGAATATGCAGTCCGTAAGCAAGAACTCTAATTTAAATCCTAACTATGTCAAATTTAATTTTATATGACAGTTGCAAATTTTGGGAATTGTACGCTGTACCAGAGATTGTGCAAACTTTATATATATTTGTGCAAACTTAAGAGCCATCACTGGAATGCTTTTTATTATGATCTGGTGACTTTTTAAAGAATTTAATGCACCAGATATTGAGCTTTACATGTTAAATGTGAACTTATGGAAATATGGAAAATGAAAATTTGTGATATGTAAGCATATGTGTATATTTACCTACCACAGAACAGCTTTAGGAATTCTAACTTGAGTTTAATCCCAAATTGAACCTGGGTGTTTGTACTTGAGTATACTCAAAAGATCTGGATTATAGAACTCACAATGATTTTTTATCATTTTGTACATATTATATACAGTACAAAGTCTTTAATCCAGACTAGTCAGGACTTCAGCAATTCCGGATTAGGGTTTTTTCTGGATTATAGATCATCAATTTAAATCTGGTAAGATGGCATATAGAAATTATACAATTAAAAATATGAAACCGTAATTTATAAAGAGCAATTATGATCTAAAGGGTACAAAAATTTACAAAAAAAAAAAAAAAAAAAAAAAAAAGCTTAATAAAATTAATAATATGAAACCGTAATTTATGAAATAAAGAGCAATTATGATCTAAAGGGTATTCAAATTTACAAAAAAAAAAAAAAAAAAAAAAAAAAAAAAGAGCTTAATATTTATTTGTTTACTTTATTAAACATTTCTTTCAATGTAAGGTGTTTAAGTTGCTTCGTTTTTTGTACTAATACTTTCTCTTTAATCCCATAAACAGACATAATTTCTTGTTCAGCTCCACTGTTCAAGTCCTGTAATTGCTGTGTCGAGAATACCAACTAACTTGTCAATCGAAATTTTTTCATTTTCAATAACCTCTCTGTCACTTTCTTCAGTATTGGAAGCAGTACATCGAAACATACTTTCACTTTGTAGATCTTTTGGCAGCTCCAGAATCGGAATCTCTTTTTGACATAATCGAAAGTTCAAGCTTACTTTTTATAAAATTGCTCTAACAATCTGCAAAAAATTATAAGCTGGATTCAATTAGAAGATTAAGGAACAACGCAATCTGCAACATTAACTGAAACAATTAGATAATTTTAGCCAAGCTTATACCATCAGTTACACATTAAACGCACATGCGTAAACGTATTATGCACATGCATAAAGGTATTATGTGCATGTGTAAATGCTATGCATGTGCAGAAAGTTTGTAGCTTTGAGGTTTGGATTATAGACCATTCCAGATTAAAGACTTTGTACTGTATTTATAAAACCAATGACACAACAATATTAGCATGATACTGAAATATGTGCACTTTTTCTCAGCTTCTTTGTCCTGCTAGTTTTCTGCAATAACTTTTCTCACTCATTTCAAATACGTTATAAAAATATTATAAGCATAAATTGAATTATTAAATAATACATATGATTTGAGCCAATTTAGCCGTGCACATCTGCATAAAAAATGTCTTCTCGATAAAGTTTTGTTAACAATAAAGGAAGCATATCCAAACTCATGTGTGTGTGAGAACAGAATGTAAAATAAAATAACATTAATTTGTCACAGCCCCTTAAGTCTCATATTTAATTTGGTTATTTAAACAAAAAAAATTGCTATGTACTTATAATAAATTTCTCTAAACTGTGTTATTTCAGATTCATCCTTCTTGTCATGTGCTTATATAACATTTTAACCAATAATAATGTTAAATTTTGAGGAGCAAAACTTTGAGTAACCAATTAGAATAAATAAAACAGTAACGGTTATGTAAAATATGTTGTTAAGCTTACATAATTGAAGAAAGTTATAATTTAGATGCATTACAATAAAAATACTTATTTATTCAGTAAAATTTTTACCAAATCTAAAACGAGTGAACACACAGCAGCAACTACATGCTTGCTGAAAATATATAAAAAGTAGAAGTTGTTGTACTGGGGTTTCTAATTTAAATTTATAATGACTAAAATTAAAATTACATTTATAACATCCCCCTCTTTTGAGAACTGAAAAAAGGGATGAAGATACACAATCATACACAGTAGAAATTAAAACAAAATTAAACAAAATTAATGATCATATAACTGAATTAAAGTAATGAAATAAAGACAACCGATTAATATCCACATCAGTCGTTAAAATATCATACAGGTTTTATCAGTTTGCCAACGCATGTCATATAAGTACCACTAGCTACAGAACAATCAAGAATAGCAGTATTCCTAGATGGACTAGAATTATGAGCAATCACAGGTGCTGACCAAGCTGCAAACAAATCTGCTGATGTTCTATGTTGACAGTTGATTATCTAAAGAGTTTAATGTGGATTATATTTCTTTAGCAGTGCACACTATTCTCTGCTGTAATGATATGATAACATTGTTATGGTCTTCTGAATTATTTACCTTTTTTCCCCATTTCTGCTGATTACTGACGAGAGCTGTTTGTGCGGTTGTAATGAAAAAATAATGGTCATAATTATGTGGGCTGTGTTGTCTATATACCCATCATTTCTGTATAGCACTGCAATCAAGGTGAGAATAAATTGCGCAGGTACAGTAGGAATTAATATATGAATGAACTAATATATGAATGAAAGCTTTAGCAGGTGACAATATGCTATTCATAGACCCACTCCTGTGTTCCATCAAAATGAGGTGGACATCACTTTTATCTTGCACAGTTAAGTTACATTTCATATTCTGCATGCAGTCTTCTAGCTGACCCTTAGAAGGATAATTACGGTTTGAGGGATTAAAGAAAATATCCCAACTTTAGTGAAAAAGGTGATGAAATTCTGAAATTCTTTAGAATTAGATGGTGAACCACTGTCAGCCATTATTTCCTCTGGAATACCAAAATATGCAAAACTGGTTTTTAAAGCACTGATTACAGCAGGTACAGTTGTCTGATGCAAATCCTGTAATTCTGTATATTTGGAAAAGTGTTGGTTATTTAAGATTGGCATATATATAACATTCTCAAAAGAATCATCCACTTCTAACAAAAATACATTATGGCAATATACAAAAAGAAAACTTTATTAAAGAAAATAAGACATGAAAAATCTTACCACATTCTACCAAACCATAATAATAAAAAAACTCTCTCTTCCAGATACATTTTTAACTCATTCTTTTTACAATTTAATATCAATGTTGCCAAAATATTAAAACTTAAAATTATGCTTTATAAACAAATACTATCAAAAAGTAGTCAATGACCAAAAGTATACATTACAGATGAGAGGTGGAAGAAATCTATGGCAAACTTTTGTCAAGTTCTATCAAATAACTTCCTATCTAGAAGATTTTCTTTACTATTCTGATTTTGTTTCTATAAGCAGATGGTAAAATATGATATCAGATTGTCAGTATCTGATGTCAGTCCAGGCCAGTAAAGAGAATGTCAAGTAAGGTTTTTACAAGTAATTATAACTAGGACGTAGATGCGGATGCTGAGGTATACCTTTGCAACAAGATTTCGGCATCAATAGTCACAGTCGATGACAAATAGTGTCTTTATCAATATGTAATTCAGAGTTAGAGTTCAAAAAGGGCTTATGAAAAGCATCAAGATTTTTTTTCCTTAGACCAGCTATTCAAAATGTAGCTTTTCACAATCTGTAGTTCTAGATTATCAACAACTGTCTTAAGTTTGGACTATGAAGCTTGAAAAATCACAGAGACCATTAGTTAGACATGATCTATATTAGTGGTAATAACAGGAAATGACGACAGAAGAGTCACAAGCATGAATTACAGCAAGAAGTTCTTTTTCTATTTGGGAATATCTGGATTGTGCATCAGTTAATATTGCTTAAGAATAAATTATTGGTTTACTATCCAGCAAGAAAACTCCACTTACTCCAAATAAACTAACATCAACAGAAAGTACTACTGGTTTGTCTTTATCAAAGAATTACAACAAGTGTTGACTGAAGATATTTGACTCATAGAAATGTTCGATCCCACTGCGCATCCTATAATTTTTTTCTGGAATAATTTTTTCAATAAATATCTCAAAGTAAGACTTTAAGAAAATCGAAGTACAAATCTCATTAAGTATGCTGTCTAGGAATCTCATCAATTTGTTTTTAATATGTCATAAAATTAGCAAAGCAACAATCTTGTGATTGGGGTAGATTTTAGTCAAGAATCTATCGATTTCAAGGCCAAACAGGTGCAGGTCTTTTTATCAGGAGTAAAGAAATCTGCAATGAAGGGAAAGCCATGATTGTATTTAAATTCAAAAGAGTAAAGCAAACAAGAAAGTAGTGCCATCTGTCAGCAGTAATAGTAATAAAAATTGAAAAATAAAGTTAATAGAATTTTCACTATTTCTTCCACTGGTGATCTGGATTTCCCGAATAGAGTCTTGATTAAAATCTACACCAAATATAAGGTTGCTTTGCTAATTTTATGTTTTACTTTTCTATATTTCTCTTCTGTCTTGAAAGTCTGATGGGCTGTATTTTTGACTAAAGTATGTTTTCTCACTAACGTATAACTTTGCCATCAAACCTCAAAAATACATTTTTTCCCAGAGGTTTCCTTAATTTAAAAAATTTTCCTAGGGGTTTCCTTAATTCTGGCTACAAGTGAACAAGGGTGTATATACATCCCATATCTATCATTCAGTATTCGTAAATTTCATGCTATCATTTACATTTTATCCAGGTTTCAATACTTGTTTTAATAAATGCCACTTGAATTGGTAGCCTGCTTCAAGACTGTTGCTGGCAGATAATGAACTAGTAGCCAATTCTTCACAATGGATTGGTAACAAATTCTACTAAGTTGGTAATCAGTTTTTCTCAGATACAGGAAATACACCTTGCTTGGAAGCCAACTCAGCAGTTTATATCACTAATCACTGTACTGGCTGGACAGCAGTACAGTACAAGGAGATGTTAGAAAGTAGCTTTAATGCTTGTGGTATATTTGACATTTCTTAATTTTTAACAAGAATCAGGACAAAATGGCAAACTTGCTGAGATGCTGGCACCATTCTTCAAACTGGGACCATCCCAATCAAACAGGGATGTTTGTTAAGCTCATTTTAAACAATAAACATATAATTATGTACCAATAATGCTTATTACATAAATACACTTCTAATTCTCTGTTTGATTACTTACTATAAAGAAATTTATATAACATTTTACTGGAAACCTGAATAATTTTTTATCATAATCACACAGCCACGGGCACACTGAAAACCATCAGCAAGCACAGGTTTGGGAAATACAAGACAATAGCTTTACAGAAAACAAGATATCATTTAAAATCATGAAATTGTACATGATTTTGTTGTACCATGTGATTAACTAACTGAAAAGCCCAGCACAATATATGAAATATCTGACGGAATAAAATTATTCTTCAAAACTTTTTTTTTCTTTCTTGATTTTAAATTATTAAAATTATTTTTCTCACTTGGCTTTAGAAAAATCTGGCCACTTACAAAGAAAACCCCATGTAGCAAAATGTATAACTTTATGAGGAACACTAAAATTTTTACGAAATTTTAGACAGTACTTTAGGGTTAATAGAGCATCAGCTGTAATTGTGCACAAAATACCTGTGGTAATCTGTTTTACCTCATGTTTAACTATGTAATTATATCATTTAAATACATGGAAAGAAATGGATTGATAGCTGCTGAAAGACCATACAAAGACAGTTAAATAGTTAAAGTTAGTCATGATAAAACAAAGACATTCATACTGAAAGTAGTTAGAGGAAAACAAAATGAAATTGTATTTCATTAGTACCAAAGCACTGATATGGTATTACAGAGAAAATCTAAATCACAAGAAGAAAGATTTACAGAGTGGAACCTGGTTTAAAGTTTGCACATTCCCTTTTTCTGATAACCATTTTGTTTATTTACTTGTACTCACAACACCATCCATGTTCACATTCACATCTGAACTAAGAGGCACCCCATAAATCAAAATGTACCTTTCGGATTAACATATTTCAACCAAACATTAAGTTTATAATTAAGTATGCTGTAATATTTTTTAAGTCACAAGATTAAAATTATAATAATAAAAATTTATGCTGATGTTTATGAAATGTTAAGTAAATACATTAGTTTTTATTTGTAGTAAAGAAAGAAATCAATAAATTACTTCCACATCTTCTTCTCTGAAAGGAAACTTTAATACTAGATTTATATCAAATTCATCAGGTTTGGATATTCGCAAATCAGAGTAGTAGCTGCCAGCATAAAAAGGTTTTTGGTACACAGTGGCAAACACCTCGTCTTTCTCTTTCATTTCTGCTACAAATGTGGTCATAAATTCTTTTAATATTGCATTATTAGTCTTCTCCATTTCTTCATCTAGTTTGATTTTTGTTCGTAAGATTTCTTTCAATATTGTCACAGTAGGGTTCTTCATTTTCTTTGGATTCAAATTTTCATTGTAAAGTGCCATTGTTTAACAACTGCATCAGACAGGTTTCTTGCAGATTCTAGAAGCTCCTAACAACATTAAAAAAGTTTCTACAATATTTATGCACACATACAGAGTAAAATATTTGCATTCATAATCAATCAAGGCATATAACATTGCTTTTCACAAATTCTTTAAACAGTAGCTTATGCATGTAACACTGACATGCAAGCTTTTAAAGTAAACTAAATGTATAAACCTCATATATTTCCTTAAATGATTATTTTTTTCAATGGGCATTAGATTAAAATAGTTCACTGGTAATAATCTACATATAAAAAGATAACTGAATTAAAGATTTATTATTATTTGTATTAATAAGAAAGGAAATGGGAAATACCTCTCTTTAATATTTAAAAAAACGTGAAATGATAGTAGTGAAATGATATTCTATTTTAATATTTAAATTTTAAATATAGTGAAATAAAAATATTTTATACTAAATGCAGAGTTGCCAACTCTCCCGATTTTCGACCGCTCTCCCGCCAACCCGATTTACAATATATTTCTCCCGACTTTTTCTTATTCTTAATATTTCTCACGATTTTTATGGAACTTGGCTTAATACTTTGTTATATGAACAAAACATAAAAAAAAAAAAAAAAAAAAAAAAAAAAAGTGATTTTGGACGTCTGAAAGCAACTGAATTTTCTCTAGATAATATCTAAAATGAAACCTTGGGAATCAGATGAGAATTTCTGCTTTGTGATTGACAGCATACGTATGCAGAAACTTCGTTCTCCAGTTGTCCAATGGGCATCGAGCTCCACTGCGTGTCATCTGGCATATATTAGCCAATGAGCACAAAGCAAGCTCAAGGCCATTGGCCGTTCTTTGGATGTTCTTTCGCTATTTCGTTCATCTTGTCCTGAGTTGTGTGAGTACACGTGCCTTTAGGAAATAGTTTTAGAAATTATCGTCTTTTGATATGTCTGCGAGAAAGGTGAAATACTCGTGCACGTTTCAAAAATCGTACACAGTTGACTTTCCTTCCATTATTTCTTCAAGGAAATGTAATAAATTTGCGAGGTGTACCATCTGTCGTTTCGATTTTTCAATTTCGCTTGGTGGAAGGGCAGATGTTCTCAAACATGTGCGTACAAAAAAACACAAGGACAACATGAGTTGTTTTGAAAAAACGAAAAATTAAATTTTTCTTCGGAAACAAAAGACCAAAAAGTGATTAATTCAGAATGTCTGTTCTCTGCCTTTTTACTGGAGCACAACCTGCCACTGAATGCACTGGATCACGCTGCAGCTTTATTTAGAAAAATGTTTCCCGATAGTGAAATCGCTAAGAAATACTCAAGTGCAAGGACCAAAACAGGTGCAATTGTTAAAGAAATGGGTTTGAAAAATAAATCTTCAGTTATTGATTGCATTAAAAACAGCTCCGTTCTGCCTCTCTACGGATGGAAGCAATAATACCCAGTTCAAAACTGTATCCAATTGTTGTTTATTTTTTTAATCCAGAGTCTTCAGAAATTGAGTGCAGTTTACTTTCTGTCCCCACTTTAGAAGGACATTCGACAGGCTTTAATATAGCACAGCAAATTATTAAAACTTTAAAATAAAATGCAGTCCCTCTGGATAATTGCTTAGCGCTTGGTGCCGATAATGCACCAGTAATGGTAGGCTTGAAGACTGGTGTTGCAGGCATCTTAAGAAAGGCAAATTCAGATTTTCAGATTATGGGGTGCACCTGTCACCTCTTAAATTTAGCAGCTGAAAAAGGGGCAGCTTCTTTACCATTAAATGTGGATGAACATTGTTGATATTTATTATTATCTTGAAAGGAGTTCTAAAAGAAAGGAAAAATTGAAACAGTTCCAACAGCTGCATAATACTGAAATGAAAAAAAGTTTGATTTTTTGTAATTTCTGCATCATTCAGCAATTCAACTGGCAGTTCTCAAAATAATACTGCAAAATATAAGCGTAAAGCTGATACAAATTTCTCTCAAAATAAAAAAAAAAAAAAAAAAATTTGCTCAACAGACGAACTGTAAGTTTGTCTTGTGAAGAACGAATATTTATGTTTTTTTCTTCGGACCTTAACAAAGCTTTTTGCTTTTTTTTACAATTCATTTTGCCATCATTCGATGTTCTGAACACAATTCTACAAAGCAGAATTCCATTAATTCATGCTTTGCAATCAATGATTTATGATCTGTTTAAAGACATTTTATCAAAGTTTGTAAAACCAGTCTGTGTTTTGTCTTGTAATTCTATATATGATGTGATTTATGGTGAAACAGAAAATCAGAAGGAAGATGAAGATTTGGTAATAGGAGCTGCAACTACAAAAGTAGTGGAAGAACTTTCAGAAGAAGACAAAAATAAGTTTTATCTTCATGTTAGAAGTTACTTCTGTCGAGTATGTGATTACACACTACATAAATTTCCAGTCAACGATGAAGTGATTTCCATGCTAAAGTTGCTGATGTTTCTGCTCTAGCAAATGCATCTTTTTTTGATATAAGGTACTTTTTGAACAGATTTCCTGTGTTACTTCGTTTAGTCATGAAAGATGATGATATTGATGTTGCTACTGATATACTGCAGTTGCAATTTTGCAGTTTACAATTAGAAAACTTGGATGAAGTTATAAAATCAGCTAGGATTGACACCCAGTGGAGGTTAATTGGAAAATTGAAAGGTGCTGATGGAATTTTAAAATATAGTGAACTCTCTAGAATTATGTTGGCCATCTTGACAGTTCCCCATAGTAATGCAGAGTGTGAGAGGATTTTCAGTGTTGTTGCGAAAACGAGGACTAAATTTAGATCTAATATTAGTGATGACACATTAGAAAAACTTTTATTAGCGAAAGCAGGCCTACGTGGCAATTGCTATGAACAAAATTATGAAGTTTCTTTCTTAACGAGAGCAAAATCTGCCACTGTCCATAACATTTGTATAAAACTGATTAAAGTGCCTTTTTTTTTTTTTTTTTTTAAACGATGAAAGTAATAAAAATGTTTTTTATGTCTAAGGTATTTTTGTTTTGCTTGCATTTAAGACTAGTAACTATTTAAAGTTAATTCATTATTAAAAACTATATTTTTATCATTTAAAAAGTCTTTTTAACATTGTGAAAAATCTCCTGATTTCTTAAAAAAATCTTCTGATTTTTGAGATTCATAGGTTGGCAAGTATGGGGACGAAAACCTGGAAATTGCAGCAGATGCGTCGGACTATGCTATAGGTGTTGTACTCATGCAAAATGGCCATCCTTTGGCATTTTTTAGTAAAACGTTGAACCCTACACAAAGGAATTATACAGCTACAGAGAGAGAAACATTAGCCGTATTAATGGCTGTACACAAATTTCGAGTTTATTTCGGCAAAGCGTCAGTAACAGTCTTTTCGGATCATGCGGCTGTTGGTAGACTTTACTCGGGGAAAAACCTAACGCCCAGGTTAATAAGATGGGCTTTAAAACTCCAAGAATATAATCTAATAATAAAATATAAACCGGGTAAGGAAAACAATGTAGCTGACGCACTTTCTCGTATAAAACTGGACGATGAAGGTAATGAACTTAAATGTGCTGTGTTGACTTAAAAATTTTAGATTCTAGAGATACAATTATCGCTGAACTGAAAGCTGATCCTGAATTTGGAAGTATCTATGCATATTTGAAAGACTCCGAAACACTATCATAAAATGTGTTTGCGTATTAAAATAGTTATCTCGTAAAATGTGGCTGCTTTAGTTTCCTCGTATGAGTTAATAATAGCAATTTGGTCTCCGTAAAATAAATCAACATCATGAATTTTACTACTATCTTATTATTATCAATCTACAGTATCTATTACATTTATGTTTTAAATTATATCAGTTATATACATTATTTAAAAATAATTAACTACGGTTATTTATTTCAAATTATTCAGTTTGTGAAGCAATTACTGATTGATTAAATTTAAAAGGTGTATTACAGATCTTTATTCTGCTGAACAGCAATCAGAACTGACTATTCGAGAGTTATTGCAGGAATTTTTAAACTATCTTTACACTGTGCTCAATGCTAATACATTCCAAACCACTTGGGTGGTAAATGCATGGTAGCATAACAGTAACGAACGTTGTAGACATATTAGATACTTTTTGGAAGCAGACTAGATGAAAAAGTAACCGCCTTCGCCGGGAATTGAACCGCTGACCTCTGGAATACCGGCACAGTGTGCAGAACCACTACACCACGAAGGCACACTAGGAAAATGGGAGAAATACCTTATATACTCCCCTTTATAAAGGAAGACTGGGGTTTTCAGAGGACCCAATCGCCAAATCCTGGGTGGGGAAAAACCTCATCCAACACCCTTTTAGTTCGGGCGCCACTGTAGGGACATTACGTATTTTTTGGAAGCAGACGAGATGAAAAATTAGCAACCGCCTTCGCTGGGAATCGAACCGCGGACCTCTGGAATACCGGCCCAGTGTGCAGAACCACTACATCACGAAGGCACGCTAGGAAAGTGGGAGAAATACCTTATAACGTAACGAAAGGAAACTTTTTGAATAACATTGATTAAGACATTTTTAAGGTCAAAAATTGCTACTGATAAAATTTTAATTTATCATTAAGTATAATCCTCATTAATAATGACACAGTAGTTTAAAATGCAGTTATTTTATTTTCAATTTTTTGAATCAAATTTTTCTTTGTTTCATTATTCACACAGAAAATTATTCGTCATTCACATAGAAGCATTTTTATAACAAAAGCAAAATCATTATTTATAAAAACAATAACAATTCATTTCATATAATGAAAATTACACACCGTGTTCACAAGTCCTTACCCAGCTTTTATTTTCGCAATCGGAATTTTAAAATTTAGAGAAAATAATTTTGTACAAATTGCGTTATATCATTATTTGTGCGTTCCTCCTGTCCCTATACTTGCGTTAAAAAATTTGTTGTAAAAAATAAAACACAAAATGTGCGACTCCCGTTCAACAAACAATGGCCAAAAATATTTTGCATTAAAATCGAAAATCACATTCAGGGGCGGTACGTAAAATGAAGAGTTTAATATTGGCATTTCTAAGAAACAAAAAATAAAATATCAGTTTAAAAAAAAGAAATAAAGGTGGCTAGGATTTCTATGTAGATTACTAAGAAAAGTATTCATCAATAGAATTTTTTGCAAAATGGAGATCTTATTCACAGGGCCTTACAAAATTCTTGTTTTAGAAAACAGTGGCAGGCTTCAATATTGTCACAGAGAAAACTAGTAATATTATTTCCATTAATTCAAATATTCGTGTTTCATGAATTTTTATGTGACTACCAGATTATGAATTTTAGGTAATAAAATTTCATGAGAGTATTAACAATACACTTTTTGGACTTGTGTGAGAATTCTTTCGGCATTCCAAATATAGTAAATTTATAAATTAAAGAGTTTAATAAACCACAAAATCATACCAATACTTGACACTTAAGGAGGAAAAAAAATCAACTTCAACTATTCCAATTTATTTATAAGCCTTGTGAATGCAATGAAGTCAAAAATCGCAAATTTTTAAATTAAATAGCTTGGCCAATATTTGTTATACGGGAGTCGTAAGTTTCATGTTTTATTTTTTATAGTGAATATAACACTTTTTTTAAATTATACGGATCGAAAAACGTATAAAAAAGTAAATTTTACAAAACTGACTTTTTTAAAATTTAAGATTGCCTCTCGCCTTTTTTTTTTTTTTTTTTTTTTTGTATGTCTACCACCAACGATTGCGAAAATAGTGAAAATAAAGCCCGGATAACACTGTGCACGGTCTAATACTGAAATTCTTTTGTCCTGCCGACCTGAATTTGTGCTCATATACTGAACTCGAAACTAGTGAACCAGCTATCTTTCATTAGTTCCAGATATGTCAGTAAACGACGTTTTTAAATGTTTGTTTCTCGCACTGTGATAAAACAACGGTACCTAAAGCCATCAAATTTCGAATAACATAATCTTCCACCGAATATGGGCATGTGGAAGCGCTAGTTTGGAATTCGAAATTTGTTTCATTATCTATTTCATATTAATTCAGAAGTCAAACAACAAAAGTCAGCGTTACATTTTCAAAATTTTCACAGGACTAGTTTTGATGGTTCTACCGAACCACCATCCTCAGCTGCAAAACCGCAAATGAACAAGATAGGAAATAATGATTAGATAAGATAAGAAAACCTGGACAAGAATAAGCAAGTGGCGCCATCTGTTGGTGAAACCAAAACTAAAACATAATTTCTTTAAAGGCCGAAGGCAAAGATGGATTGGAATTAGAATCGTTAACTAGGACAGAAGGAATTTTTATGAATGTTAAATGCCTCTAGAAAATCAAGGTCTCCAATGGAAGATGTTTTTTGAATAATTTTCGCAGCAGAAAAATTGAAAAGTGTGATTTTCGGACCAACAATGTTGAGCAACAGAAGACTTCTGTGTTTCCTTTTTTTTAACATATAACCTCATGTTCCTTGACGCGAAATTTTAAGGCTCTCTTAGTTTGACCAATGTAAATTAAACCACACTGGCAAGGAATCCTATAAATACCCCAGGAATTCATATCCGGAATGGGGTCCTTGAGTATGGAACTCGGAATTTTATTGATGGGAGAATAAACAACCCGAAAGTTAAATTTCTGCAAAATATGTGCAACTTTATAGCTAATTGATGGAAAGAAGGGAATGACAACAGAATTTTTATAATCTCCTAAAACAAGAGTGTGCCTTTTAGTGTGTTGAGATGAGAATTTTTTAAATGCTTGATTAATAATGTTGGGTAAAAAGCTCCTGCCAATAGCTATTGCTTTTAAATAATTTAGTTCTTCATCAAGGGATAGTTTGGAGGAGCAAACTTGAAGAGCACGGAAAACATAGGAATAAAATGAAGCTAACTTTTGTTTAGCCGGATGATATGATTTAAAGTGTGGTGGAAGGCAAACTGATGAAGGTTTACGGTAAACCGTAGTACTGAAGTTGAATATGTTACGTGTGACCAGAATGTCGAGAAACAGAAGGGAATTGCAAGTCTCAAGTTCAAAAGTGAACGGAATAGCAGGATCAATAGAATTCATTGTTGAAAGTACTTTATTTAAATTATCTTTATTACCTTCAAACAGGGTAAAAGTATCGTCTACGTAACGGAACCATGCCGGGAAGTTGGGATTGAGGGGGCTTTCCCATGGCTAATACCTTAGTTTGCTTGTAATATTTATTTTGGAAAACAAGATGTGTTTGTTTCAAACAGAGTTGAGTGAGAGAAATTAGCTCATTAATTTCGATGCAAGAGAAATGAAATTCGCGAAGTCTGGTTTCTAGACATCTTAATGAACCCTCCACTGGAACATTGGTGAATAATGATTTTACATCAAAAGAAACCATGAGCAAATTTCTAGGAGAAATGTTTTTAACCTTTTTTACAAACTTTGTTGAATTTTTTATGGTGTAAATGTTATTGTCTAATGGAGTTGAAAATCTAGAAACTATTTAGCTAATGGATACGAGGCAGTACCTAAATTTGATACAATAGGGCGGAAAGGAATACCACTTTTATGAATTTTGGAAAGAGCATATAATCTGGCACAATTCGCAACAGATGGGATAAGCGAATATTTAAGTTGCTTGAAATGATTTGTGAAGATTTGATCGCAGTTTTTATTTTTGACAGGTCTGAAGGTGAAGGATCTGTAGGGATCAGATTATATGGTCCTTCGTTTAAGAGTTTAGTGACACCATCGATGTAAGTGTTCTTATCCATGACGACTTTCTCTAAAGTTCTTATCCATGACGACTATCCCTAATCTGATCCCTAAAGATCCTTCACCTTCGGACCTGTCAAAAATAAAAACTCTAGAGGCATTTCACATTCAAAAAAATCTTTCTGTTCTAGTTAACGATTTAACGATCCTAATTCCAATCCATCTCTGCCTTTGGCCTTTAAAGAAATTTTGTTTTAGTTCTGGTTTCACCAACAGATGGCGCCATTTGCTTATTCTTGCACAGGCTTTCTTATCTAATCACTATCTCCTATCTTGTTCATTTGCGGTTTTGCAGCTGAGGATGGTGGTTCGGTAAAACCATCGAAACTAGTCCTGTGAAAATTTTGAAAATATAACGCTGATTTTTGCTGTTTGACTTCTGAATTAGTATTTGTTCGGCGTGTTATTGTGTCTTAATCTATTTCATATTTTGTAACACTTCAACGAATTTTTGATTAACAAACTCAAGGATTTCAAAGCAAGCAATGGCCACACTCTAAGGGGGGGGGAACCTTTTATGTCCAGTGCGCGGAAGTGTGTATCGGAAATTCTAAAGATAGGCTCATTTTAAAATTATTTTGCGACAAAGAACATGATATTTAATAAATAAAAGTAACACACAACAGGTTAAGAAAAGTCCCTTTGGTCGTAATGTAAAATCTGAAAGCTTTCAGAATTAAAAAAAAAAATATTATAGTATTATTAATTTATTAATTTTCGCACTTTTCTTCCTGTCTTACAGTTTTCAATTTCATACATAGAACAGTCAATGGACATTTCAAAAGATATAATTGTAACAAAAATTTAGCATTTTATTCTTTATTATAGATACCGATTACTTCATATTCATGAATTAAATCAAAATATAAGGATTAAAATGGAAATTCTGAGATTTAATTTATGCGAAAATTATTTAAAAATAACAATATTGTCAGAATAATGAGCACAAAAATGAAACATTTTGCATGAAAGCGATGTTGTCAAAGCAGGAAAAATTTATAAATACATTTTAAAGTTATGTTCATGAAATCTTAAATATTTATATCTAACGTACATAACAGAAAAAAAAAATCGAATTTTATGTTTCTGTTTCACACTGAAATATCTTTGTGTCCTATTTGTGTGTGTTTTGCAAAATGCATTTCATGAAGATGACTACTGTTTAATTTACCCTGAAAACGAATACTATTTTATTGATGCCATGCAATATTAAGTTAGAAAGTTTCATGACAGATATAGTCAAATTTAAGTAAGAAATTCAGAAACTCATTTAAGAAAAGGCATCCCTGGATGTTTTGTACAAAAATTAATTTTCGATGTTTCATCTTAAAAAAATTTGCCTTTGAAAAAAAAAACACAAGTAGAGCTACATTTATATTCAACACAAATCATTTAATGAAAAGAGGACATAAACGCATCTAAATAGATTTATAAAACAGCATTTCAAGTAATATTCAACACAAATCATTCACGGAAATAGAGGAGGAAAACGCATCTAAATAGTATCTCATATAGCAGCATTTCAAATATGCGAATTTTCAAGGCTAATTTTTAATATAACTAATAATTCCGAATTATTTAATGTACTTCGGTATAGAAAGTATTATCAAAAGTAATTACTTATACAATATTAAAATATTAACAACGTCCTACCTTTACTCTTACTTGGCGCCGCTCCTCTTCTTTTCACAGTGAGAGTCACAGCTGTTCGAGAGTTACTTTTAATGTGTAGGGGGAATACGGACAAGCGCCTGGCCCCAGCCACCACCCCTGTTCTTATTGGTTGCCGTTTATGACGTCAGGCTGAAAAGATTCCATTATCTTATGGCTACTATTCCATTATCTTAAGCTCTACATTATCTGTTTCGTTTGAGTTATGTCAAGGGGAACTTATAACTACTTGGGATTTGGTTCTCTCCTGTGTTAATGTGAATTTGTGCAATGTAACAGAATATTTGCAATTAAAAGGAACCTAACAGTATAAGATTATATGTCGGCACTTTTTATATAAATTGTTTAATCATGTTAATGGAATAGATAAAACTTTATAATGCGTAAATAGTGTTTGGCTAAGCAATCTGTATTCAATGCAATTCATAGCGCTATACTGATATTTAAGAAATGTATTTTATAATTTCATATAAAAGGAGACCATTAACAAGATTTGCTTCGTCAGCAATGTCGAGAAATAGCACTTAACTCTTACTGTGTAAATAATGTCTGCCGCAGTTTTCATGAATTAGCGGTTTATTTTGCAGAAAAGTGTTTTTAAAAGTGATATAAATGTAAAATTTAGTTATTTCTTTATAAAAATGAACTGTTTGATAATTAAATTACCTTCCTTTCATTTATTGCTTGTTGTATAGAGATTGTTTGGTATCAAAATTGTTCGTAGTCAGATTAATTTTTTACTTTCTAATCCTAGGCATTAATTTCTCCTCATTTATGGTTAAAAATAAGATAAAGTGATAAGATACTTTTAAATCGTAAAATACTTATAATATAATATCATTTATTTGACTTTGTCAATTGGAGTTATCATTCTGTTTTTTTTATGTATTATTGTTTTGTTTCTTAACTTTTATATCTTATAAAAAGTGTTTATTGTCAAATGACTTCGATATTCGTCTAATGACCAAAATACTGCTAAACGGTTATCGACTGCACATCGAATTGCACCTTTTTTTCTAATATTATGTATATTAACAATATATTTCTGAAGCTGCTTTTTATTTTTGTAATTTTTTCGAAAATATGGCAAATTATTCCATTGCTTCGCCTATTTCAGCGCTAAAATGACCTCGAGCTCAAGCTTTTGGCGCACAAAAATGCTGCAAAAATTCTTTTCGTCACTGTATGACATCAGAAGTCGTGTCCAATAAGAGCTTGGGGTGGTGGCTGGGGCCAGGCGCTTGTGGAATACGGGCGTTAAAAGTTTAGGTTTCGTATCGTTATCAATTCCGATAACGATGACAAGGAGTTTGGCGTTATCGGTATTATCAGTTCTTTTTCTCAGAAATATGAGATTGCAATTTTAATTGCCCCTGGTTAACAAAGAATTATCACGAGCAATAAAATTATCTAAGGATTCTCGAATGAGCATAAGAGGAAAAAATATAAGAAATACCTTTCCCATATAGTTTTGAAAGGTAAACTTTTAAGGACTGAACTCAATCGTTAATACTAGTTAGTAAGTTTTATATAGGCATATATCTATGCAAATAACACTCAAATAAATTATTAAAAGGAATGTACGAATGAGATAAAAATAAGTAAAGGACGAAAGAGAAGAAAATCTGAAAGCCTTTACGTTACGCCCAAAAGGGTGATTTTTTTAACGTTTTGTGCGTTACTTTTATTTATTAAATATGTTCTTCTCACTTAAACCCTAAAATTCAATTTAACAGTAATATCGCAAAATAATTTTAAAATGAGCCTATCTTTAGAATTTCCGGTACACAGTATCGCGCGCTGGAGATAAAAAAATGATTTTTTTTATCTGTACAGTGTTGCCATTGTTTGCTTTGAAATCGTTGAGTTTGTTCATCAAAAATTCGGTAAAGTGTTACAAAATATTTGAAATCGATAATAAAATATCCAGATGCCCATATTCGGTGGAGGATTACGTTATTCAAATCTGATGGCTCTAGGTACCGTCGTTTTATCACAATGCGAGAAACATATATACATGTATGCAGATTCTTCGGTATTTAATTTTTTTAAATATAACACAAGGCAATAATATTTGGTGGCAACAATTTGATAAGTGAAACAGGCATTTAAAGTTTTAAGCGCAAAATGCCGAAACGAAATTAATAGCCCTTCTGAACTAACGCCCTTTGGGCTAATAATAAAAAATAAAAAAATAAAAAAAAACCCTGCAAGTTTTTAGATTTTATATTACTCCCAAACGTTTTTTGTGCTACCTTTAGTTATTAAATATCATGTTCTTCGCACTTAAACCATAAAATTCAATTCAACAGCAACATCACAAAATAATTCAGAAGTCAAACAACAAAAATCAGCGTTAATTTACAAAATTTTCACAGGACTAGTTTCGATGGTTTTACCGAACCATCATCTTCAGCTGCAAAACCGCAAATGAACAAGATAGGAAATAATGTTTAGATAAGATAAAGAAAGCCTGGACAAGAATAAGCAAGTGGCGCCATCTGTTGGCGAAACCAGAACTAAAACATAATTTCTCTAAAAGCCGAAGGCAAATTTGGATTGGAATTAGGATCGTTAACTAGAACAGAAAGATTTTTATGAATGTGAAATGCCTCTAGAAAATCCAGTTCTCCAATGGAAGATGTTTTTTGAATAATTTTGGCAGCAGAAAAATTGAAAGTGTGATTTTCGGACCAACAATGTTGAGCAACAGAAGTCTTCTGTGTTTCCTTTTTTCTAACATATGCCTCATCTTCCTTGACGCGAAATTTTAAGGCTCTCTTAGTTTGGCCAATGTAAATTAAACCACACTGGCAAGGAATCCTATAAATACCCCAGGAATTCATATCCGGAATGGGGTCCTTGAGTATAGAAGTTGGAATTTTATTGATGGGAGAGTGAACAACCCGAAAGTTAAATTTCTGCAAAATATGTGCAACTTTATAGCTAATTGATGGAAAGAAGGGAATGACAACAGAATTTTTATAATCTCCTAAAATAAGAGTGTGGCTTTTAGTGTGTTGAGATGAGAATTTTTTAACTGCTTGATTAATAATGTTGGGTGAAAAGCCCCTGTCAATAGCTATTGCTTTTAAATAATTTAGTTCTTCATCAAGGGCTAGTTTGGAGGAGCAAACTTGAAGAGCACGGAAAACATAGGAATAAAATGAAGCCAACTTTTGTTTAGTCGGATGACATGATTTAAAGTGTGGTGGAAGGCAAACCGATGAAGGTTTACGGTAAACTGTAGTACTGAAGTTGGATGTGTTACGTGTGACCAGAATGTCGAGAAACGGAAGAGAATTGCAAGTCTCAAGTTCAAAAGTGAACTGAATAGCAGGATCAATAGAATTCATTGTTGAAAGAACTCTATTTCGATGCAAGAGAAATGAAATTCGCGAAGTCTGGTTTCTAGACATCTTAATGCAACCTCCACTGGGACATTGGTGAATAATGATTTTACATCAAAAGAAACCATGAGTAAATTACGAGGAGAAATGTTTTTAACCTTTTTTACAGACTCTATTGAATTTTTTATGGTGTAAATGTTATTGTCTAATAGAGTGGAAAATCTAGAAACTAAATATTTAGCTAATGGGTACGAGGCAAACAGGGCAAAAGTATCGTCTACGTAGCGGAACCATGCCGGGAAGTTTAAAGTTTCAAACAATTTTGATTCATAATAATGCATGTAGATATCAGCCAGGATGGGACTGAGGGGGCTTCCCATGGCTAATCCCTCAGTTTGCTTGTAATATTTATTTTTTTGGAAAACAAAATGTGTTTGTTTCAAACAGAGTTGAGTGAGAGAAATTAGCTCATCAATTTCGATGCAAGAGAAATGAAATTCGCGAAGTCTGGTTTCTAGACATCTTAATGCACCCTCCACTGGGACATTGGTGAATAATGATTTTACATCAAAAGAAACCATGAGTAAATTACGAGGAGAAATGTTTTTAACCTTTTTTTTACAAACTCTATTGAATTTTTTATGGTGTAAATGTTATTGTCTAATAGAGTGGAAAATCTAGAAACTAAATATTTAGCTAATGGATACGAGGCAGTACCTAAATTTGATACAATAGGGCGGAAAGGAATACCACTTTTATGAATTTTGGGAAGAGCATATAATCTGGCACAATTCGCAACAGATGGGATAAGCGAATGTTTTAAGTTGCTTGAAATGATTTGCGAAGATTTGATCGCAGTTTTTATTTTGGATAAGTCCGAAGGTGAAGGATCTTTAGGGATCGGATTATATGGTCCTTCGTTTAAGAGTTTAGTGACACCATCGATTTCGGCGTGTTATTGTGTCTTAATTATAGAAGACCCAAACAGGCTTACATTTTGCTTTCTTTTTTGCACGTGGTGTGGCCGCCATTTTGTGATTGTAGGAGTTTCGGTGAGTACATTTTTGCAATTTTCAAGTTATGTTTATGTTTTGTACATTTGGATATTGTGCTTTGCTTGTCTGATTTCATGCATTTTGCTTACAACATTTTGTTTTCTATTCATTTCAGTGAGGGATTTTTCTGCTATTTTTTATTTTGTGTGTACTTTATTATTGCTCAGTTAATTTAGTTTGATTTTCTGCATTGTTTATCATGCCTTCATCCGTTAATCGTTTCATTAAATTACGCCTGAAACGGCAAAAATTCCTGAATCATCTTGACTTTTTACTTAAATGTAAATGTAAAAAATTGATCCCCAATTTTATTCAAATCAAATCTAATCAAAAACCTTCGAGTCGCGTTTTAAGAATTCTGTTAAATTGCAAACTTGCCTTACTTCGGTCCGTGATAAGGGATACACGTCAACAATTGTCCAAAATTGAACATGAACTCTATAAGCTTCATCTGGAATTCGCTAAAACATATCCAAAATTCACTGCCCTTGAACAAAAGTCTTGGTCTAGAACGGAGAATGCAGTTAACCGTCATAAAAACACCCTTGCAGTTAAATTCGAAAAACTTCTTTTACAGTCTTCCAGTTCAAGTAGTTCAAAAAATCTTCCCATTGTAAACATCAATCCAATAGTTAATATTTCTAATGTTAGTCTTTCAGAAGAACAAGAGAGAATTCTAAAAT